CAAAACACAGCTACACACCTTTTTGAAGCATTTGTCCCAGAAGTCATCATTGTATCCGGTGTAATGTCTCAGGGCCTCCTCATCTTCTTTGGTGACAAAACCAACAGGAACCACCCCGGCCGGGAACTGGAGCACGTTGTACAGAACAGTGTAGCTGATAGCAGCTGCAAGAGAGGACATTATAGATGGAGTCATTGAGAGTCATGTGACCGCCTCTATGTCCCACTACTGGTCTCCAGTACACTCATGTGGAGTCATGTGACCGCCTCTATGTCCCACTACTGGTCTCCAGTACACTCATGTGGAGTCATGTGACCGCCTCTATGTCCCACTACTGGTCTCCAGTACACTCATGTGGAGTCATGTGACCACTTCTATGTGGTCTCCGGTACACTCATGTGGAGTCATGTGACCGCCTCTACGTCCCACTACTGGTCTCCAGTACACTCATGTGGTCATGTGACAGCCTCTACGTCCCACTACTGGTCTCCAGTACACTCATGTGGAGTCATGTGACCGCCTCTACGTCCCACTACTGGTCTCCAGTACACTCATGTGGAGTCATGTGACCGCCTCTACGTCCCACTACTGGTCTCCAGTACACCCATGTGGAGTCATGTGACCGCTTCTATGTCCCACTACTGGAGTCATGTGACCACCTCTATGTCCGTCCCACTACTGGTCTCCAGTACACTCATGTGGAGTTATGTGATGTCCCACTACTGGCCCAGGTACTCTCATGTGGAGTCATGTGACCGCCTCTATGTCCCACTACTGGTCTCCAGTACACTCATGTGGGAGTTATGTGACCACCTCTACGTCCCACTACTGGTCTCCAGTACACTCATGTGGAGTCATGTGACAGCCTCTACGTCCCACTACTGGTCTCCAGTACACTCGTGGAGTCATGTGACCGCCTCTACGTCCCACTACTGGCCTCAGGTACTCTCATGTGGAGTCATGTGACCGCCTCTACGTCCCACTACTGGTCTCCAGTACACTCATGTGGAGTCATGTGACCACCTCTACGTCCCACTACTGGTCTCCAGTACTCTCATGTGGAGTCATGTGACCACCTCTACATCCCACTACTGGCCTCAGGTACTCTCATGTGGAGTCATGTGACCACCTCTACATCCCACTACTGGCCTCAGTACTCTCATGTGGAGTCATGTGACCGCCTCTACGTCCCTCTACTGGTCTCCACCACATTGGCTGACAGAGGACATGAGGGCGAGCACACTGGTGACCATTCATATTTGGACTTATCAGTGGAGACAACCTTCCCCCAAAGCCAAGACCCTCCATTTCAGTCCCCTGAGATGCTCAGCTTAGAAGAACCTCCACGTTTTCCTTCATTTAGAGGGTGATTTTTGGTGGGGGGGGGGGGGTTGTATTTTGTCTTTTAAAGTTTAAAATGATCAGACCAATGATGGGCAATTTGTGGCACAGGAACCGTCCCAGGATAGGTGAAAGGAGCCTCCAAAACCCACGGGAGACATTAAAATCTATTGTACCCTTAATGACCACGAAAACCACCTCAGTTCCACCATTCCTATTGACTGCAATGTATTCCCCCCAAATGGTGCCATTTCCCCCCTACTTATATACTGATCAGAGGGAAACCAGAACCAATCAGACTGGGTCTTCTATCCCAATCAGCCAATACTCTTGGCCAGGAGCCGCGGTGTCTGCAGCTCCCTAATACTCGTTAGGTTGCTGGATTACGAGACGGCCACCCAAGGACTACAAGGGTCTGATGGAACCTGAGGAGGAGGAAGGTCACCATACTTCAGAGCTCCCATCACCCCCTTTACCTGGTCCATTATCATTCTAAAGATGACCTCTGACCCTGCAATCTCCATCTCTATGTAATATGAAGGCCAACCAAAATGACTGCTTCAGTTTTGTACCCAATCAGGAAGGCCCTTCCACTATATAATTGTCGGTAGATCTAAAGAAGATCGTACTGTCAGATTGCAATGTGTGTGATGAGATGTAATGCCTACCAGCCCATCCCCCATCCACACAGCCATGACATGGAGTCTACCTAGAAGTTTCACTGGGTATCCGACGTTGAAGGCCGGGCCTAACATGGGACAAAGGACCACGTCCAGCTTCAGCTTCTTCCATTCCCTGATGAACTCCGCCTGATATTCCTGGAGGAAACAACACAAGAAGATGAAGCTTGCCACAGGAGCTAGCACTCACCACAACAGCCGACTGCAGGAACTGACACTCTACAAAAGGGCAGAGATGGTCACTGACCTGGATGGGGGCAATATGTCGGTGATAATATCTCTGCATGTATGGCCAATCGTATACTAGACAGTGAGAAGAACGCTCACTTGCTGGAAACAGCTCATTTGATCGATTAAACCCTGAGAGAAAAATGTCCCCAGCAACCAATCAGATCCGGCTTCCATTCCTCCAGGCTGTGATTGGTTGCTGTGGACAACACAGACATATTCCTGCATGTTGCACCTTCATAATGTGATGTCTGAGAATCGGCGGACAGAACGAACGATGAGGTGAAGAAAATGGAGAAATGACAGATATGAATCATAACCGATCTCGTGTGACCAAATCTCTGCTCTCCAGACCCGGCAACGTTACCTCCAGGGCCACATGGTCCATCCAGTGTTCCTGTATAGATCTGCATGGAGGAAGCACAGAGGAGTCACTGCAGACACAAATCTTCAGATTGTCCCCCTGCCTCCTCTCTACCATTTTCATCCCCAGTAACCCCCCATCCCTGAGGAAGGGACCCCAGAACAGAATGGGCCCCCAGAGAGTGACCTCCATGGGGTGTCTAGAGGTGATTATCTGTTTCCTTCACTATAAAGAGGAAATCAGAGATTCCTTATTAAACATTTCTGGAACCGTCCCTTCAGTTGTCCTGAGGTCTACAGACTCCTCCCACATCCCATGTCTGACCAATCATAGAGGTGGGAGTCTCACCTGGGTCCGGCAGTGGAGTGGGTGACTTTAGAGATCCTTGGAGCCTGCAAAACATTTCAATAAGAGATCATCTTCATCATCAGGAGCAAATTATGGGGAGGAGACCCAGCTATCAAAGGGCCCAAAGGGGCCCCCAGTGTGATCAATGGTGAGGAAAGGACACTGTATGGGGTTGCTGGTGGTGCTGCTTGAGGTGGTTTATTCAAATATTAGTAATTAGAGAGTTCTTATATTCACATCCCACCACCTCAGACTCCTTCCTTCCTTCCCTTCCCTCCCCTTCCCTTCCTTTCCTTTCCTTCCCTCCCCTCCTTCCCTTCCTTCCCCCCTCCTTCCTCCCCTCCTTCCCTTCCTTCCTTCCTTCCCTTCCTTCCTTTCCTCCCTCCTTCCCTTCCTTCCCTCCCCTCCTTCCTCCCCTCCCCTCCTTCCCTCCCTTCCTTCCTCCCTTCCCTTCCTTCCTTCCTTCCTTCCTTCCTTCCTTCCTTCCTTCCCTCCTCCCTCCCTTCCTTCCCTTCCCCTTCCCTCCCTCCCTCCTTCCCTCCCTTCCTTCCCTTCCTCCTTCCCTCCTTCCTCCCTCCTTCCCTCCCTTCCTTCCCTCCCTTCCCTTCCTTCCTTCTTCCTTCCTTCCTTCCTTCCCTTCCCTTCCCTTCCCTCCCCTTCCTTCCCTTCCCTTCCTTCCCTTCCCCTCCTTCCCCTCCTTCCCTTCCTTCCCTCCCTCCCCTCCTTCCCTTCCTCCCCTCCTTCCCTTCCTTCCTTCTCTCCCTCCTTCCCTCCCTCCCCTCCTTCCCCTCCCTCCCTTCCCTCCTTCCCCTCCTTCCTTCCTTCTCTCCCCTCCTCCCTTCCATTCCTCCCCATGTCTCTCATTTCTCACACTTCCATTATCTGCACACTCAGAAATAATAGGAATCTCTAAGAGGTGGGATATCTGCGTCACCGGAGGAAGTAGACGGCTCCATACTCTCCGGATATCCAGGGCGTTCCATCGCTTCAACTGGCTCTCTGAAGTTCTCTGATCCAATCCCGTTATAAAGGGGGGACATCACTGTGGCATTTTGGGGCCCACATGGGCCTCTGTGGCCTTGTCCCGGCAGATGTCACCCAACGACTTCCAGCCGAACTTCTCTGCTTTTGCTGCAACTTCCTATCACTATAAGTCGTCCTTCTGAACATTTCATACAATTCGTGGCTTTTACCGCTTCCTAGGTTAGAGCGTTGACACTGGATAATGCTCTCTAGGTCGGGATATTCGATATTTAGGATGTTAAGCAAAAGAAAATGATGGGAGGCACAGCATGGAAGAATGAAGGAATGAAAGAATGAATGAATCAGTATGTGATGAGAGCCAAGCTGAAAGCCACGGGCTCCTCCATGGATTGTCTGCTTACTATGGGCCAGAGGAGGGAGGAGTAGGTCCTGGTCAGCGTAGATGGGAAGCTGTACCGGGAAACACTTTCAGCCAAGTGGATGTCCACAACGTTCTCCTCACTGGAAACAAACAGAAGAGACAAAACATCAGTCCTCTGGAGGGAACTCCATGCAAACTGGTCAGTTGGCCAACTATTGGACTGATGTTCAAAGAAAAGAGCATAAAGGAGAACAAATGCAAAATCTTAGTAATTCGCAGTAAATATCCAAAATTCTTCTACCCATTTGTTACAATTTGCACCAAATAAATTCACCATTTGAGTCTCGGCATTATTACAAATTCTGACGACAACCAATCTGAGCGTCAGCAGATTCGCTTCATTATACGCTAAGCCCGGTTCACTTTGAAATCGAGTTCCAATATATGAAGGTGGTCCATGCAAAGTTCTCCCTCACTAATGGGACCTTCAACTTACAACTTGTCTGCCAACGTCTTCCCTCCATCACCAAAGAGTGCCGTTTTCAGAAACATCTCATAGGCATGATCTACTCGAGGTGGTTGGAATGGGATGAGCTGAAAGGATAAATAATGTCTCCTTCAGGAGTCCGGCTCTGTTTATTAGGGGAGTAGATGGGCGTTTACCCCTCTCCCAGGAGACAGTAGAGATTCCCCCTTACCTGGTGTCCAGCCTCTGCTAGAAGCTGCTTGGTCTCCAGCAGTACACGCCTCATTCCAGGACCAGGAAGGAAGAAGCCGTCCTCCTCATAGTATCCGATACGAAGAGGTGTATGGCTGGAGTAGAGCTGGAAGAGGCCAGGAGAAGACATTTCATTGGGCAGACGTGATATGGCGGCAGGACCTGTAGAGGTCATCCAATCATGGTATTGTTCTTCCATATCTAGGACCTGTAGAGGTCATCCAATCATCGTATTGTTCTTCCATATCTAGGACCTGTAGAGGTCATCCAATCATCATCCAATCATCATATTGTTCTTCCATATCTAGGACCTGTAGAGGTCATCCAATCATCATATTGTTCTTCCATATCTAGGACCTGTAGAGGTCATCCAATCATCATCCAATCATCATATTGTTCTTCTATATCTAGGACCTGTAGAGGTCATCCAATCATCATCCAATCATCATCCAATCATCGTTTTTTTCTTCCATATCTGGGACCTGTAGAGGTCATCCAATCATCATCCAATCATCCTTTTGTTCTTCCATATCTAGGACCTGTAGAGGTCATCCAATCATCATCATCCAATCATCGTTTTGTTCTTCCATATCTGGGACCTGTAGAGGTCATCCAATCATCATCCAATCATCCTTTTGTTCTTCCATATCTAGGACCTGTAGAGGTCATCCAATCATCATCATCCAATCATCGTTTTGTTCTTCCATATCTGGGACCTGTAGAGGTCATCCAATCATCATCCAATCATCATCCAATCATCATCCAATCATCGTATTGTTCTTCTATATCTGGGACCTGTAGAGGTCATCCAATCATCATCCAATCATCATCCAATCATCCTTTTGTTCTTCCATATCTGGGACCTGTAGAGGTCATCCAATCATCATCCAATCATCCTTTTGTTCTTCCATATCTAGGACCTGTAGAGGTCATCCAATCATCATCCAATCATCCTTTTGTTCTTCCATATCTAGGACCTGTAGAGGTCATCCAATCATCATCCAATCATCGTTTTGTTCTTCCATATCTGGGACCTGTAGAGGTCATCCAATCATCATCAATCATCATCCAATCATCATCCAATCATCGTATTGTTCTTCTATATCTGGGACCTGTAGAGGTCATCCAATCATCATCCAATCATCATCCAATCATCCTTTTGTTCTTCCATATCTAGGACCTGTAGAGGTCATCCAATCATCATCCAATCATCATCCAATCATCCTTTTGTTCTTCCATATCTAGGACCTGTAGAGGTCATCCAATCATCATCCAATCATCATCCAATCATCCTTTTGTTCTTCCATATCTAGGACCTGTAGAGGTCATCCAATCATCATCCAATCATCATCCAATCATCCTTTTGTTCTTCCATATCTGGGACCACCTTAAGGTTCACGTAGAACCAAAACATTTATTTTTTAGTTTTAGAAAGATTGGGGGAGGGGTTAAAAGTCCTATAAGGTCCAAATAGAGGCTGCCGTCCTCACAGTACTGGACCTTGTAATGTTGGGTTCTCCAAGTGATTGCCATGGATGATGCCGTGCCAGAACCAGATGTACTGATCCAAAGCCACTGGCACGCCGAATCATCGTCACCTCAGGCACCAGAAACCGACATCTCAAGGCAAAGCAGAGTCCACTTCCCAGGGCAGCAGAGTCAGCAAGGACCAGAATGATCCGGGAAATGTCGCCAAGGATCGGAATGATCCGGGAAATGTCGCCAAGGATCGGAATGATCCGGGAAATGTCGCCAAGGATGGGAATGATCAGGGAAATGTCGCCAAGGATCGGAATGATCAGGGAAATGTAGCCAAGGGTCGGAATGATCAGGGAAATGTAGCCAAGGACCGGAATGATCAGGAAAATGTAGCCAAGGGTCGGAATGACCAGGGAAATGTCGCCAAGGGTCGGAATGATCAGGGAAATGTCGCCAAGGGTCGGAATGACCAGGGAAATGTCGCCAAGGGTCGGAATGACCAGGGAAATGTCGCCAAGGGTCGGAATGATCAGGGAAATGTCGCCAAGGGTCGGAATGATCAGGGAAATGTCGCCAAGGGTCGGAATGACCAGGGAAATGTCGCCAAGGGTCGGAATGACCAGGGAAATGTCGCCAAGGGTCGGAATGATCAGGGAAATGTCGCCAAGGGTCGGAATGACCAGGGAAATGTCGCCAAGGGTCGGAATGACCAGGGAAATGTAGCCAAGGATCGGAATGACCAGGGAAATGTCGCCAAGGGTCGGAATGATCAGGGAAATGTCGCCAAGGGTCGGAATGACCAGGGAAATGTCGCCAAGGGTCGGAATGATCAGGGAAATGTCGCCAAGGACCGGAATGATCAGGGAAATGTCGCCAAGGACCGGAATGACCAGGGAAATGTCGCAAGCCAAGGACCGGAATGATCAGGGAAATGTCGCCAAGGACCGGAATGACCAGGGAAATGTCGGCAAGCATGGGAATGATCAGGGAAATGTCGGCAAGGACGGGAATGATCGGGGAAATGTTGCCAAGGATCAGAATGGCCATGCAAATGTTGCCAAGGATGGGAATGATCAGGGAAATGTTGCCAAGAGACAGAATTGTCAGGGAAATGTCGCCAAGGATGGGAATGATCCGGGAAATGTCGCCAAGGATCGGAATGATCCGGGAAATGTCGCCAAGGATGGGAATGATCCGGGAAATGTCGCCAAGGATGGGAATGATCAGGGAAATGTCACCAAGGATCGGAATGATCAGGGAAATGTCGCCAAGGATCGGAATGACCAGGGAAATGTCGCCAAGGATCGGAATGACCAGGGAAATGTCGCCAAGGATCGGAATGACCAGGGAAATGTCGGCAAGCATGGGAATGATCAGGGAAATGTTGGCAAGGACGGGAATGATCGGGGAAATGTTGCCAAGGATCAGAATGGCCATGCAAATGTTGCCAAGGATGGGAATGATCAGGGAAATGTTGCCAAGAGACAGAATTGTCAGGGAAATGTCACCAAGGATGGGAATGATCAGGGAAATGTCACCAAGGATCGGAATGATCAGGGAAATGTCGCCAAGGACCGGAATGATCAGGGAAGAGGCCCCAGCAGGAGGGATGCGTAGATAGCAGCATAGTTGGGTCTCCTTACCTCCTCATTGAAGTAGATGGGGGGAACATTGGGGTCAGGCGGAACATCTCATCACACAGCAGAGCTCTCATAGCCAGAACCAGACCGTCCACATCTTGTGCCATCGGACCGATGACAAGAGGCACTGAAAGAAAAGTATTAGTGTATATACATTCTGGAGGAAAGAAGGGAAAGGATGGACATGACTGAAACCTTCAATTACATGAAGGAAGTGAAGAAGGTTCAGGATGGCAGGATTTTCAGTATGAGGAGAAGACGAAGAACATGGAGACCTCCAACTAGAGGAGGAAGATTCAGAACTTGTAGGAGGAGTCAGGCAACAAGAAATGGATTTAAACACATTTTAGACAAACAGATCTATACTGACAAAAAAAATAAAAAAGTGCCGGACGGGAGGGATCATGTTTGTTTAGTCTGTTGTCACCACGTTTATATGTTCATATACAAAGATACCCCATTATTGGTGAGAATGAAGGGGAACATACCCCCAATGAGGACAATGGACCCTTTTCTGTATATCAATAATACATTCATTGTTTTTTTATGACTGTGTTGTCCTTCAGGTGCCGAGAGTCCATATTCCTCATTGGGGGTACGTTCCCCTTCAATCCCCTATAGTAGGATGATGGCACCCCGATATTTGCAGTGATGTCTACTAACACAAGGCTTGTCATACTCATTATCGGTGATTTGATTTTCTAAATAAATACAAATCAATATACAGTAAAGTGATGAATCGTTCAGATCAAATCTGCTGGTGGATTCCAGGATTTCATACCAAAGATTATCCTTTGGACGCCCGAACACTCAACCTGGAGATCTTGAGTCCTAGTTGGCCAATCACTTATTACCAACGTTGACTTTAAAGGTCTCATGTACAAGGGTCGCTTCTCCCAGCCCCCTCAGTGACCTAAAGCTTGGGCAGGGTCGGTCAGATGGTCACCGGCCACCAATCATTACTGCAGAGAGTGTGTTGTGTCTCATCTTCAGGAGATGAGAAGATGAGAAGGTCTTCCCATGTGTGCACTGATCATTATACAGAGAGGTTGGCTTTATACTGGGTAGGGAATTCCTGTGAGCTTACTGAGAAGGACATCCACGTGTGCATTTTCTGGCATGTGGCTCTGCAGTTGGAAGACCTCTAGATGTAAGTTCTTGCTCATGCGCCTGGTATCAGGAGTAGTGCCAAATGTCTAGAGGGCCTGCCATTTCCTAGATCTTCAGCTACTTCTCAGTGACCTGACTTGTATCTGGTGGATTTATTGTTTATACTGACCCACCTTCCATTCCTGACCCTCTCTTTGCGCTTTCATGTACCTTTGACTTGGATTCTTGATGATCTGGTTTTGATTTCATCTGGTCACTAGCTGGTTCATCTGCCTGTTGATGACCCCAACCTGCTGCAGACTCTGCCTTCCTGCAAACCTAGTGATGACCTCAGCCTTTTCCAGACCCCTCTCCTGATGACCTGCTACCTTCCTACCCACCTAGTGAGGACCTCAGCCTGTTCCAGACCCCCCTTTCCTGATACCTTCCTTCCCACCTATTGAATAGTTTGGCCTGTTCCAAACTCCCCTCTCTTGATGACTTGGTACCTTCTGCCCATCCAGTGATTAGCTTGGCCTGTTCCACTTCCCCCTCTCCTGATGACCTGGTACCTTACTGCCCACCTAGTGAGGACCTCAGCCTGTTCCAGACCCCCCTTTCCTGATAACCTGGTACCTTACTGTCCACCTAGTGATTAGCTTGACCTGTTCCAGTCATCCCTCTCCTGATGACTTGGTATCTTTTTGCCCACCTAGTGATTAGCTTGACCTGTTCCAGACTCTGCCTCTGCTGATGTACCTTCTGCCCTACTTCTGACCTCAGCCTGTTGCAGACTCCATCAATGACCTGGTACTTTCCTGCCCACCTAGTGATGACTTCAACCTGTCCCACACTTTGTCTCCACTGATGACCTAGTACCTTCCTGCAAACCTAGTGATGATCTCAGTCTTCTCCAGACTCTGCCTTTGCTGATAACCTGGTACCTTCTTGTCCACCTAGAGATGACCTTGGCCTACTTCACTACCCCGCTGCTGACCTATTCTATGAGGTCTTCTCCTGTTCATCTGCTAGTGACCCTGACTTTGCCTCCCACCACAGTCCTGCTGTTGTTCCAGAGTTCCACTTTAGCCTCTACACATGAACTCCATGGGTTGCGCTCTGGGGATACAGAGCCTCCAGAGGATGGCTGGACATCCATCATCATTCTGCCACTGGCCAGTTCTTCTCTGCTGAAGCTGGAGGCTCAAGCCATCACCAACATTCATTTTCAGCATTCCTTCGCCTCCTGAGCTGCAGCTTCCCGTCTCACCTCTAGTGCAGGAGGAGCAAGAGAGGTCACCCCTGCACCCCTTTCTTTTACCAGATACACAATACTTCCTTCACCTTCATGGGGAAGATTCTTTACATCAAGATGATCTAGATTCCACCTGCTTAAAGGTTTTTTAGGACACAAATGATTTTCCAGAGCAAATTGACCGATATCTGCACTAAATCTGATCTCACAGATTCTGACAGATGAGAGGGCTACATGTCATGCGATGGATGATGGTCATGTGACCTCCCCAGATCAGAGATCGTTATGTGACCCCTCAGAGAAGGTCCTTATGTAAAGACCCCGGGGTCCTCTATTGGCAGGGATTGTCAGTTCTATTTGTGGTGGCTTCAGTCAAATAACCCGTTTTTGATCTCTTCTGGCTTTCGGTCATTTAGAAAAGATCACAACTCAAGTCAGTTCACATGAAGGGACCTCAATCATCTCCATTTTACCTGCAGTCATCCCATCGATACAGGGCCGGACCCCACGCATGCTGCGGAATAAACAGAAATGTGTTATTTTCCTAATTCTGACAATTTCCCCCCCGAAAGACAATTACGTACTTTACACGGTCCTGCGGTACAGGAAAATGTCCTTCTGGGTTGTCAGAGCAGCCAGTTGTCATATTGTACAGCTGCAATGTTCCTCTGCGAATCCCCTACCTATACTTTGTTGTATGATAGCCACTCCCCCCCGCAGTACCGACCTGCTCCACCCACTTCCCACCCTCAGAGAGCACACAAACTAGGATTTCAGGACCAGAATATCATCCATCATGAGCTGAAGACCTGCAGCATACTACACCGAATCCCATGTTATCTCCTGCTGTAGGTCTGGTCCAGGGGCGGACTGACAACTCATGGGGCCCCCAGGCAATAGAGGATCATGGGGCCCCTGTGTCCTTGCCCAAACTCAAAAAAGCCTATGAAAAAAGGTACTAGGGGCATCTCATGGGGCCCCCTACTGACCCGGGGCCCTCGGGCAGTGCCCGAGTTTCCAAATGGTCAGTCCGCCCCTAGTCTGGTCAGACCATCCGCCACATTCTCCATAGAGACCAAGTCCCAGGAGGTTTTCACATTCAAAGAAGAGACTTTTCTCTAAATACGTCTAAATGATGACCCCTCTCAGATATTACAGAACAATACAATGTTATAAAAGACAAATTACACATTCTGCCTCATTAACCAGACAAAACCTTAGGCAACCCTAAATCAGGTGTGAATCTATGGGGGGCGACAGGAGAATGGAGGAACCATGGGCATGTACTGCTCACCTCAGCCGTAGAGATGTTGGCTTAAACCCGGAAATCCCACAAAAACTGGATGGGAGACGAATGCTGCCACCGAGGTCAGTTCCGAAGCCCAGAATCGAACCTCCACCTCCAATCAGAGCACCTTCTCCACCTGTGGACCCCGAAGCCCCCTTGGCTGTGTTATGTGGGTTCCTTGTGTATCCGTAGATTGTGTTGCTGGTTTCATAGCTGTGGAGAGCGGAAGACATTATAATGGCTTTCCTGCATCATAATCGAGAATCTGAAACTTGATATTCACATAAAGTTGAATTTCAAACAAAGAAATAAATATATAAATATATCTCTCACCATCTCATCCCATACATCGCATTACCAGAGGGTGACACCACCACTTCCTGGTGCAGCATCATCTCTCCACCTCCACAAGAAGCTGAACCTGGAAAAAGTGTTCACCTCCTGGATATACAGTGTGGCAGAGGTGAGGTAGAGTCATCCTCCACAATCTCTATCCCCCCATTGTTCCTGATTGGTCACTCTCCTGGCCATGCGGTGTGATGATCGGCAGATAAAGATAGTTATTGGAGAAGGTAAGGAATGCTTTCTGGGATCTGTGCCTGGGGAGTGAGGGCTTCCTTATCTCCCGGGACCTTGAACTGCATCTGGCTGCTCCATCTCCTGAACCTTCTCCAACCCAGTCTGCAGGAGGACCACCATATTTCCTGACCATTAACCCGTAGAAG